CCCCAAAACCCCAAAACCCCAAAACCCCAAAACCCCATTTCCAGTGATAATCACTGAATAAATATTATTAAAGATTAATTAAAGTTAGAATGGCTAGTTGCCAAAAGTTTAAAAACTGGGTTTACCAGTCTATTTCCCTCTTTCTTTACACTAAAGCTACTTCAAGAGGGTTTAATATAGTCTTTACTAACAGATCTCTTATGATGACTCATACTTCGGATCTGCTTGTTAGCTATTTTCTTTTTATATTTCTGACACATTTTCTTCATCATCTTTAAATTAAGTAATTGCTGAGGCTCTTTTTTGGCTTTCTCAGTGAAGGTGTTTATCTTCTTCATCAATGGAGTCCTAGAGAGATCTTGTTTAAGAGTTATTGATAAAGGCAGGTTCTGACAAGGAGCTAAAATTAAAATATTTTCTCACTTCCATATCTTCTCTTTGGCATTTTCTTAGGTTGTTTCAAAGTTTTATTCAAAATTTGAGTTATACTTCCTGAGATACCTTTTGGCGAACTATAATATGATAAAATAGGAAATACATCTTTTCCTAATTCTTTCTCCTTCTTTGTCATCTAGCCTGTATGTAGGGCCAAAGATCTTCTTAATTTTATCAACTTGCTCTTTAAAAATATTCTGCTGCTCTTCTTGGTCTATCGTATGACTTATGTGATGAACTTGGGGCAGCCTTCTAAGCCTTTTGCTCATAATCTTTCTTCGCTCTTTAAGGAAAAATCTTTCTATAGATGAAACACAATAGGTACCAACAACTATCATTAGCATCTTTTTATCAGATATCTCTCCAATATGATTAACTTTGCCTGAACTTGGTTCAGCTTCATTAGGATCATCTATGGATCAATAGAGTATCATACTGGATACAGACTCCTTTCAGTTAATGATAGATTTGAATTTTAGATGCAAAGGAGGTTTTACCGTTCTCTAAACTCGGTGTTAACATGCTCATCCAAATGAAACTATTTACCTCCATTTTACTAGCATTAACTTCTTTAATTCCTTGAAATTGTAGATTTGTGCTACTGTTTTTGTTATTTTGCTCCGATCCGCTTGGAGGACTAATGCTTAAATTTTTAGGTTCTAAAATATGAAATGAGGAGCTACCATCGATGCTTATTCTATTAGGCTGGAGCTTAGTTTTAGGTAAAATTTTAAACTTCTTTTTCTAGAGTATAACATTGAAATTTATACCTTTTGTGTTTTCAGTGCCAAATGAGGAGGGTCATTTCTTTTACAAAGCAGGCTATTGAAATTATGCCTATCAAAGCCTTTAAAGAAGTTCTTTTTCTCTTCTTCAATCTAGATCTATGAGGAGAATTATTACTAAAATTTTATTTCTTTTTTATTTTCTTTACTGTCTCAATATCATATATCAAATGTTTGTATTTCCTAAAATTTTATTATGTTCAAAATTATTTCTAAAAAAAGTTTGAAAATTACTTACAATTTATTACTTGATTCTATTGGTACAGAGTGAATTCCAGTAGTGCTATCATCCTCTGCTGATTCTTGAAACTTAGGAAATTTATATCTTCCTAATCCTTTCACTTCTATAACTGAATTAGTACAAATTTGGCTGAAATATAAATTTTTGAAATATTTCGAATATTTTCTCAGATTTTTACGACTCTTAATATGCAAAATGGTTGATACAAAAATTATTGAACTAAAGTGAATCAGTGACCAGTAATGCTTACAACAGGATATATTTCACTATCCAATATAGGTTAATAGGCTCAAAATACACTTACTATTTATTAAAGGGGGCTTTTCTCTCTTGTGCTTAGATCTAGACCTAAATTGGTGATAAACCCTCAGTAATCCCGATCATAATTTTATTAAAACCAGCCGATAATTACACTAATTATAATCCTAAAGCATGCCTTATTAATTAGTTTTGACAGGTTCAAATAATTGAAAATTTTCTGCATATTGATTTATTTGATGCAGGGACAATGACATATTATCAACCTCAAATAATTTGAATAAAAATAATATGTAGCCAATAACATCATATATAATTTCTCCAGCAAGGATGCAATATTTGTGGAGTTTTATTACATCATTACTCTTGCAAAAAAGTACTTGTAACAGGTGAGAGTGCATAAAGATTCCACATATCTCCTATCGCTAGTTTAGTGAATCCTACCCTCACCCTCCTATCCCTCCTGCCAAGACTCCACTGCTTCCTCCTCCCTGCCCAAAGTGTCAGTCTCCTACTATACCTATCGTTCATTTTTAAAATATAGTGCTCAATTATTTAACAGGGGGTTTTGGGGTTTTGGGGTTTTGGGG